GGATCACTAGGCTTTTGTTGAGTTTTGAGATGTTCAAGACGGGTTTCAAGATGCTTAAAACCATTTCAAGCACCTTGAGTTGATAAGGAGAATCGGCATCCTGTATCTATGTTGTAGTTCAATTTTATACTTGGTTCAAATTTTATTTTCCTTTGTTCTCGGTCATGTTCATGTATGATACTGAGTTTGAAACAAAGGATAAAATTGAACTACAACATCTACAGTCACGTAAGATGTAGCTGTTCTCTACTTGTCTACCTTAATATCACTTACCCTCTATGTACTCATCAAATAACATTTAATAAGTTTGTAGACAAAGTGAATCTAATTGATTATAATGTTTTCTGACTCACTGAATCACTCTTACCATAATCATCAGTCTGAACAGACACAGTGGCATTTGGTCCTGGTTTAATAGTCACAGCTCTGACGTGAAACTGATAGGTGACTCCACCTAACACGTCCACTGTATAACTTAACATATTTTCTCCCAAGGTTTCAGTGTGAATATGATGAGGATCTTCATTGTGACTATAGAACACAGTGTAACTCCTGATAATGCCATTTTCTTCTGCTGGCTTATACCAAGTAAGCTTTATCTTTGGACCAGCTGATTTATCAGGCATTATCTCAGAGTGCGAAAAGTTGGAAGGAGTGCTTGGTGCTAAAGTAATAAAGAAATGGAAGATGAAGGTTATTATATACACTAGACTCATAGGATTGACCTTTGGCAGAAAAAATGTAAAAGTTAGATGATGCACTTTCACATTTCACTTACAATACAGAAGCTATTTATTAATAATAACAATTATAATAATATCTTAACTTTAAAATAATCATGCATAATATCAATACAGTAAACAACACTGTTAAGTTTTAGCTTCTTACCATCTTCCAGTGTCTGCTCAACCTTTACAGAACTTTTTGGTCCATCACCATGAGAACCAACAGCCAACACTTGGAACTCATATTTGGTATATTTATCAAGAGTAGTAACATCTTTCGTTAATGTTGCTTCTCCTTTAATAGACACCATATGTGAATTAGCCATTGAGCCTTTCTGTCTGTAGAACAACTTATATCCTGTTACTTCTCCATGTCTGGCATATTCTGGCAGCAATGTCCACGATGCTTTTACACTAACTGATGAGATTGCAGTCACAGTGAGGTTGCCAGGAGCTTGTGATGGAACTGAATTGTTCAATAAAAATGATAAAACGTATTTATATTTATATTTTATTTAAAAATATAGGTGTAGATAAAGTATTTGCCTAGTGTATCAGTGTAGGCTTTGAGATTTTACACAACATGTTAAGTAAGGTAACTCAGAATATTCCCTTCTAATATCATTTTTCCCAACACCTAAGGGATTTCATTTAAGTGCCCTTGAGATCAAAATTTTTGTACATCTTTATTTTTCATTTTTGTGTTAAGACGTGTGTCTCCTTCACCAACCCTGCCAAATTTCAATATAGTCCGAGCACCTGAAGTATCTTTTTTGGGCCAGCTGTTCAATTCGCGATTTTGTGTCCACCATTTAATTTGACTTATAATGTTCCAGAAGTTGATAGCAGGACTCACTCAGAGGAAGNTTTTGTAACACCTGGCAAAAAGGGTTTTAACTTGACCCAATTCAACATTCTGGGAACAAATTAGCCTAAAATAAAATGGTCAATTTTCATCTCAGGGGCACCTTAATGCAATATAGACAAAATACATATATCTTATTAACCAAGCGCGAGGGCCGTACTGGGAGAATATCGGCCCGAGGTCTTGACAGTACCGACCTAGCGCAGCGAGGTCTGTACAAAAAAGACCGAGGACCGATATTCTTCCAGTACGGTCCCGAGCAAGCTTGGTTAATAAGAGATTTATTATACGACTGAAGTTGAAAGGGACACAAGTGCGGTATCATTCGGGACCATTCGGGACAGTGCCCGATCCAATACTGAGAGAATATTGACTGGCAATAGAGCATTTTGATTGGTTGATTTTAGTTATTGGCCCTCTGACTGCCCGAGTCGTGTAATAAAGTAGAATTATTACCTGCAGATAGGAGCACTCCATAAACTTCCACTCTCAATACCTTATGTACATGATATGCTATTGGTATAAAACGGATGAACCTTGCCAATGTATATTCCCTCAGACCATGTTTCATTATGTCATTTCTCCCAGAATAACCATTAAAGACCTAAAATAACAAAACTTGCATGAAAGTCAATTTGCCACACTACTATAATGTGTAGGGTGAGGAAACTTAAATGAAACCAAAATGCTAATACGTAAGGTTAGGTTTCCTTCAAAAAGAGCAAAAATGAATGAATTAAAGATGTTTCCTACAGACAATTCTTGAACCACACTTGCTAATACTTTACCCAAGTCAAGGTGTGGGCCGAGTGTTGACCAACATACTAGTAAATATCAACTGATAGTGAAGACTAACAGGGAACCAACTTGAATAACAAGGCAAATGACACTCAGCCGACTCTCAACCAACATTGGTAAAAATGTCAAACAATAGAATCCACCAACAGATGCCTTAAGTACACAATAGATGATCCCTCCTGCCTTGCACTTTTATGGAAGTAAATGTAAGAAAACTATTAAAATTTAAAAAATTCAATGAAGTTTAGCATGATGTTTCAATTACATTGAACTGACCTTCTCAGCATTGTTTTCTTTATAAACGTAAAAATGGGCACTATCGAAAGATATGTTAATATTGTACTTGGTTGTCCACTCATTAATATCATTGGCTCCTTGTGTAGCTACAGCACAGATAACATAGTCATTCAGTAGATCAATTTGTAGGTAGTCTGCAGGATCATTCACAGGTTTGGGTCCCCAACCACGGCCTTTTGACCTCGTTATATTCAGTCGCCCAAACCAAGGATAATACACTTCACTAAAATATGTTGAGGCTGAGAAGCTGCTGTCTGGAATTGCATCATCTCTAGCCACACCAATGGCTGAACTATCACATACTGTTAAAAGACAACTAATTATCATAAACTGTGGTTTCAACCCAGAAAATCAATTTATTATACATAACCAGTAAAAATCACAAGTGTGCTGCACCATCTGAACACCTCAAGTGATTTTACTGAACAAAAGTGATTTAAGGTATAGACATGTATATTTGTGTTAAGACTGTTGCTGTTGAATGCAAATTCAAGGCTTGAAAAAAAAACCTTTTCACTTTGCCACCTTTTAGAAGAGAGAAAAAGTACAGCTTGAAACTTCCAACTGCTGACATAATACGAAGTCATACAGGTATGTATCCCTGAAATTACATCATACCCAAGGAAAGTGCTTAAACAATTTTTATTCACTCACCACGATGCATAAAAAAAATCACTTGTTTACTACGCTCACTCGTTTGTTTATTTAATGAATCACATTTTGTGAATTAAAATTGTTCAATCATGTGCACTTCCCATGGAATAATCTCAGTCTATATCTATACAAACATATTTATAATGGTCTTCTTTGATCATAAAAAATTTTCAAGTCTGCACATATACCTAGCTTTTGTTTCAGTCCAAACACCTCTGTTCTCATACACACCCTTCCCTGGTGTGTTTGTGGCAAGAATCGCAGATACCTTGTTAACACTCCATAAACATGTCATTTCTCCCAGAATAACCATTAAAGACCTAAAATAACAAAACTTGCATGAAAGTCAATTTGCCACACTACTATAATGTGTAGGGTGAGGAAACTTAAATGAAACCAAAATGCTAATACGTAAGGTTAGGTTTCCTTCAAAAAGAGCAAAAATGAATGAATTAAAGATGTTTCCTACAGACAATTCTTGAACCACACTTGCTAATACTTTATACCCAAGTCAAGGTGTGGGCCGAGTGTTGACCAACATACTAGTAAATATCAACTGATAGTGAAGACTAACAGGGAACCAACTTGAATAACAAGGCAAATGACACTCAGCCGACTCTCAACCAACATTGGTAAAAATGTCAAACAATAGAATCCACCAACAGATGCCTTAAGTACACAATAGATGATCCCTCCTGCCTTGCACTTTTATGGAAGTAAATGTAAGAAAACTATTAAAATTTAAAAAATTCAATGAAGTTTAGCATGATGTTTCAATTACATTGAACTGACCTTCTCAGCATTGTTTTCTTTATAAACGTAAAAATGGGCACTATCCAAAGATATGTTAATATTGTACTCGGTTGTCCACTCATCAATATCATTGGCTCCTTGTGTAGCTACAGCACAGATAACATACTCATACAGTAGATCAATTTGTAGGTAGTCTGCAGGATCATTCACAGGTTGGGGTCCCCAACCACGGCCTTTTGACCTCGTTATATTCAGTCGCCCAAACTGAGGAAGATACACTTCACTAAAATATGTTGAGGCTGAGAAGCTGCTGTCTGGAATTGCATCATCTTTAGCCACACCAATGGCTGAACTATCACATTCTGTTAAAAGACAACTAATTATCATAAACTGTGGTTTCAACCCAGAAAATCAATTTATTATACATAACCAGTAAAAATCACAAGTGTGCTGCACCATCTGAACACCTCAAGTGATTTTACTGAACAAAAGTGATTTAAGGTATAGACATGTATATTTGTGTTAAGACTGTTGCTGTTGAATGCAAATTCAAGGCTTGAAAAAAAAACCTTTTCACTTTGCCACCTTTTAGAAGAGAGAAAAAGTACAGCTTGAAACTTCCAACTGCTGACATAATACGAAGTCATACAGGTATGTATCCCTGAAATTACATCATACCCAAGGAAAGTGCTTAAACAATTTTTATTCACTCACCACGATGCATAAAAAAAATCACTTGTTTACTACGCTCACTCGTTTGTTTATTTAATGAATCACATTTTGTGAATTAAAATTGTTCAATCATGTGCACTTCCCATGGAATAATCTCAGTCTATATCTATACAAACATATTTATAATGGTCTTCTTTGATCATAAAAAATTTTCAAGTCTGCACATATACCTAGCTTTTGTTTCAGTCCAAACACCTCTGTTCTCATACACACCCTTCCCTGGTGTGTTTGTGGCAAGAATCGCAGATACCTTGTTAACACTCCATAAACAACATGCTTCACGATTGAGTTTTGGTCATCATTTCCCAAAAATAACTAAGATTGTAAAAATATAAAGCATTAAATGTCACAAATATATGATGTAAATTACGGTAGGTTAATTTCAATAAAATTAGTAACTAGGCTAAGGGAAAATGAGATTGTTACAAATGGCTGGCTGTCAGAGAACCAGAAAATACTGATTTGTGGGCACAATGTTCATGAAATTGTCATTGTGTGAAATACACATAAAAATCAGTTGTATTTTTGTCCTCAAATTGTTAGGACTCAGGAACACTCTACCTTAACTTGTCCACCTTCCTTGTAGTCTGTCCACGTTGTCCCATCTGTGGATAATTGTAGTCTGTAAGTCTTTACCCACTGATCTGCTTGAGTATTCCCTTGTGTAGACACAGCACAGATGATATGAAGTGTCTGTAGATCAATCTGTAGAGATGGGTTAGAGTCAGTTGTTCC